TGCAGAAGGAAACTTCACGATATCAAGAGCTAAATTCCAGCTCTAAGGAAAAATTTGGCTCTTGGTTACATCTGGGCAACCTCCAGTAAGGACAATGGACTGTACAGGTGATTCTGACTCCATGAACCTCTTCACCAGTGGGTCAGAAAAAGTAGCACCTAACATTCAAATCCCAGACTGAATTCACTGAACTGGCAGTAAGAAAGATCATCTTTTTAACTGTATGCTGACTACTTGATAGGAGACAAAAGGCTGGGCCAAAGCAGCATTACATTAGAGATAAACACCAAGAACCAGCCGTACAGTTTGTAGACTCACTTATTTCTATTTTGTTCTTAACCAGAGGACAGAAGGTTTTTGGGGGGCTATTACTATTTTTTATATTCCTGAACTGGATAATAATTAACTTTAGCACACGTACAGCATTGTGACAATTAAAAACAGAGCTAACACTTCAACACAAATGCATGTTTAGGATTCCAATTATGCAAGATGAGGATGCAAATTCATTTTCTAACTCAGTCTGCTTGCTGGGAAGCAGAAGTCTCCAAGCATTTGATTTTAAAAACTGCATTATTTCCTCTCCTCAGAGCCTTGACATGATCAAAAATCCTGTGGGGAGGGCAGGGGAGGGCTGTCCCAGATTTTAAGATATTCTTTTCAGCTGAGGCTGCATGCGTCAAAGCCATTTGACTTTATCTGTAACAGATTCCTTGTTCCAATGTGTCACAGATGGGAAACGGAGAGAATGACACTGGCAAAGCTTCCTCACCCGGTCTCCAAACTTTCAGCAGACAGAGAGCAAACTTATGACTAGGGCAATCTCTGTCATTATTTCTAGGCACTCACTCTCTTGCCGAGTTTCTGACCCCCGTGAGCCTCTCTGCTCCCTCTCCACCAACACAACAGGCTTCTGAGCTCTGTTTCACATGGTGCTTTCAGTGGCTCTGTTTCACTGTAGCAAAGTGTCACGTCGTTGTATTTATTATCTGCAGCCTTCCTGTACTATGAACAGGGCCACACACAAGCGTGCTGTGCTTCTCGGTAGAGAACGACACAGGAGAGTAAGTCTGCCAGCATTTAGCCGCGCCTCCTGAAGCTCTTCCAAATAAAACAGAACCCATCTGCCAATGCTGGGACCGCAGTTTGGCGCCTCTGGAAGGGACAGAGCAGGGGAGCTCGCCCTGGCAGCTCAACACCAGGTTCTTGCTCCCAAAGCCTGGTCTCCTACGAAGCGGTCCCTAGGGTGTCTCTCTCACCTCTCTGCCTGCTGAGAGGCTGCTGCAACTAGAGGAGTCCAGACTAGGGAAGTGTCTAGTCCCCAGCCAGGAAATACAGCCTCTTTCCAAGGGCTGGACACCCAAGCCCTGGGGTCTGACAGCCACTTTTCCCCCTCTGGATACACACACACACCCCTACCTATTTATCTATACAAATTGATAGATAGGTGGAAGGAAAGAAAGAAGGAAGGAAAGAAAGAAGGCAGGCAATTGTTAGGGATGGAAGGGACCTTAGTAGATCATCGAGTCTGACCCCCTGCCCTGGGCAGAAAAGAGCTGGCTGACCCCAGCCAGGTGCTTGTCTAGTCTCCTCTTAAAGTATGGATGTATCCTTTCCTCAGAGGGGAAAGGTGGCTGCAGGACCCCAGGTGTCCAGCTATATAAGATACACACACACACAAAATATTTGGGGGTGGGGCGAATCGTGCTTTGCCCCCTGCCCCCGAGGTTTCCCAGCCGAGCC